ATTTGCAACCCTATCTTGTACACTGTTTAATTTAAAATTATGTTAAACTGTTCTTATAAAACGGCCACTAGATGAGCATCACAGCTCTTTTATAGGGTTAATAAAGGGTTAAAGAAAACGCCTTCATATCAGTGAAAAAAGCCCCTAAAAATGTAATTTGATTAAAAAAAAGCTTATTTATGACACTGAACAGCAGGTATTAGATCCTTCCGCATATACAGTGAAATACCACTCTATTCCCACAGGGCTCTATTACCACTCTATGCCCACAGTGCTCAGTGGAGTCTAAATTTAGAAAGAAGTTGCATTTTATGCTGATCAGTAAGGTTAGATTTTGCATACTGCACACGACATGACGGTGCATGAAATTCCCTGCATTCTTGAGTTTTTTTTTGGTTTGTTTAGCTTGTTTACTCATCTTGAACGTTCACACACTTCCTCCTCTAAGGTTTACAAAAACACATGAGGCATAGGTCATGGCACCTCAGAGAACATCACACTCAAACACAAACACCAGCAGTAGGTTGGACAATCCACAGGGCAGTCCCTCTTACAGTTACAACCCTTACAGGCACACGCTGCAGTAACCATAGTGACCCAATTCATACCATAATGTAAAGTCAATACCAGCAGCTGATGTCTCAGCCCACACACACATTCACAACCACACAAACAGACACGCAGGCATGTAGAGGGAGAGGACGATCGACCTGAGAGTTCAGAATGAGCAAGTGTGGTTGAGGCATCAGTCATTCGGGGCAGTCAATTCAATTCAGAAATGACTGCGAACGCCAGACCTGATTGGTGGTTAAGGGGCAACGCTAGGAGCGCATGTGCTATCAGAAGCGAGTTTGGAAATTCCATAGCCCAGTTTGCAAACAGACCAGACTCTGAAGTCATGATGTAAAGAGCCGTTCAGGGCAGAACAGTGGTCTGAAAGATTAATCATGGGAAGAGAGAGCAGTGCTGGGGGGAAAGCTAAGAACAAACAAATCCTTTCATCGTGTAAGAGAAATATCCAGAGAGACAGAACGCTTAACCTTCTCGGGTTTCGCTCTCAGTCATAGGATATTATAAGACAATAATCTCCAAGTAAAATAATAAGAGTATCCTCTCCTCAGCAGTTTCCAGTAATCTGAGTGAAGGCACTTTAACGAGGTCAGCAGCCATAAAACAGAGCACATGTGGTACTTCAGTGGATTGCGCTGTTAAGCGCTGCTCCTACAGAAGAACAAATAAACAGCACAGTCAGTAGATCAATGAGGCCGGACTGCCCTACATTCTCACCGGGCATTTTATCAGGTACACTGATCACATGCACTTTACAGGTGTGTGATTACTGAGTCATCTGTTACAGCCAGACTCCTTCAGTGTCAAAAAGAGATACGTGAGAGTTAAGAACCTCCATGTAAGTAAAAGGTGCTAATAAGAACTTTTCAACTGGTATAGAACCTGTACAGTACATGTAGGATCTTTAAACCTTTAAGAGTATCCAAATCACGGAAAACTAAATATTCCTTGTTTTTTTTTTAAGTGAAAGACTTTGATGTAGTATGTAAACATTAAGCTTCAAAACAAACCATCCAATCCCAATCCATATAGTCCATATATGAAGACCAAGCTTCATAAACAGCACATTTACAGATGTCCACCTACAATCTATGGCAGTTTAGCTCCGCCCATTCACACAGAAGTTATAAAGTGTGTCTCAGCCCAATGTAACAAAAGTAGTTGACGCTGTCAAAAGCTGATGCAAAACTCTCGAGTATCAACTTCTCACATGTGAAACTGTAAAGACACACATTTATTCCACAGTACTATAGTTACATCTCAGCATTTAAGCCTAGCAACCTGGTATCTAGGTCAGCATTTAAAAGCTGCGTTTAGAAGCTCAAATGGCCAATGAGAGGTCTGCGTTGTTTTACTCTGCTAACGTTACTACAACTCAACTGCCCCATATGGAAAAAATATATTTACCAAATATTTGCAATATATGAAAATGTATTTGTTAAATGTATATTTTAAAATGCATACATCTGAATGCCATTATAATTTTCAGTTGTATGTAGTTTTACCTGAGGTTACAGATATGACTGAACATGCATGAACTGAATAATCAGTACTGACTTCGGTGTCCTGCATTGTGCTTTGCATTAACCATGTGTGTATGCAGTAAGACATGCACACACACACACACACACACACACACACACACACACACACACACACACACACACACACAATGTAGTTCAAATGATATTGAAAGATATCAAATCACAAGTGCATCTTCACAGAGTATCAATACCAGTACATCTGGTATTGATCTACAATATCAGTACAACACTTCCTTTTGTCATGTTAAAGCTACATTTGCTAATATTTAAAATTATAAAACGGGAATACAAATACATTTCAAAACTTATTCCAAACAGTAAAGTGAATCACTGCTGTCAGAACAAAACCTTTAGTTTTTAACATAATTTGAAAGTATCTGTGGTCCTATGTATTGTGTGTACATTTCATAATAAATGGGCCAACAGAAATAAGTCTGATTCCATTGACGTACATTAAAAGTAGAGTGTCATTTTGGAGATACAAGGTTTTGATCAGACAACAGTGATTTATTTATTTTTCTATAGTACATTTCTAAGTGTAATATTTCACTATTCCTTTTAAAATAAATGTATTTGAAAATATATTTGGTTAATATGGCAATAGATTCTGAAATACATTGTAGTTTTTGGAATGTATTTTGGCACGGACTGCAATGTATCTGAAAAGTATTGCCAATGTCCATATAATTTCTTTCTATACGGGCCTTAAATGTGCCCTGACTAAGGAAGTCTGATTGAGTGTGGATGAGCTAACCGTGATATTTCCCTCTTCTCTGTGTTACGCCAACATGTTTCCACGTCATCCACTGAGTCTCATGTAGAGGACGACGACTGCCTCTCACCTAATGTTAAACTGGGTGATTTAACCCACAGTGTCTAAAAGATTTCCCTTCACTTTTGAAGGGCAGAGGCAGTTTTCTTTAAAAAGAAAAAACAAAAACAAAAACACAAAACAAAAACATGTTTATAAATGTACTCCTTTGTCTGCTTGTGCTACTGAATTTGTTGTCCAGCTCTGCTGGATAGATGACCGATAAAGCAACATTACATCAGTTCTCAGCTGAGAAAAGCGACTCAACTGTCACCACTCAGAATGCAGACGGTATGTAAAGACGCTCTTTTTTTGGTTCCATATCAGCTATATTTTTAACAGAAAGACATCATCTCCAGCCACAGCATGTTTAGCCGCACCACCACGCAGGCAAGAGTCAACTGTTTAGTTGTGCGTACACTGCGCATGTGCAAACGTCTGCCCACGCGAGTTTCAGCTTCATGTGTCAGCTCAACAGCGGCAACTATTTTTGTTACACCGCATTGCTTTTTGAATGATGCACAATACAGGACAGTGTTCAGCCAATCAGAACAAAGATTATTTATACAAGTTGTACAGGCACAGCAATGAAAACAGCCCGTTTAATTCTAATGGTCAATAGGAGGCTGGAAAATGGTCATGAAGAAAAAAAAAACTCATTATGGCTATTTTTGGTACATAGAAATCACACAAACATTCTAAGTGGACCTCATGGGACAATCATAAAATATATGAAAACCGTAGGATACGGCTCTTTAAAGACGTTCTTCACACTCTAATTCACTGTACTGTGAGTGAAGAGTGATGACAGCTGAGCAGGTACATCTCACTGGTGAGTCATTCTCAGCTCAGCAGTGCCTTAGTGGGTGTTGTGCTGATACGAACACAGTGCACTCTGACTGACCACTTTATTAAGCAAACTGACCTTTTTGGGACATTGAGTCAGAGAGTATATCGATATATTTTCCACATACAATTTATGTTAGTCATTTAGCCCATTATCAGCGGCCAGTTTCTGACCACAATACCGCTGCTGGGTGGGTACTTTTTTTTTGGCAGACTGTTTTCAACCCAGCAGGTATTAGCATGCCAGTGTCATTGCTGTGAAAATTGTCCACCAACCAAATATGGTGTCATATAAACCACTCTATTAGAGGCAGAGTGGGGCTGATTAATAGCAACAAAATGCATAATGTCACTGTATCTGGTTAAAAAGTGTTAGTACTGCACTAAGATTACCCTCCATTTATTTAATTTCCAGTCCATTTTGTACAAGTTATTCATTTTTTCAGGAGATATTTGTGAAGAGATTAGATACAAGATAATCTACTTGCATACTGAAGAGGAAAGGCAAAGGAAACCAAGTGAAAAAAAACAGGAGTTCAACAAATTATTGTAAGATACTGAGAAAATGTGACTCCAGACCACTGTGCAAGATCTGGTAGACACCAAAACTGTCACCATCAGATAAACAGCACTTATAGCTTTCATCAAGCTTCACTCTTGCATCAGATCTGAAAAAATCCACAAGTGTTAACACTGTCGCTGCCAAGAAAAGGAAAATGTGTTAATGAAATCAAGAAGCTGCTGGTGTTCTCAGAACAATGGACTGACCACTCCAGAGTCCAGACCCTGAGAGCACTGAATATGTTTGGGGTTACTCGCATAGTGAAGAGCAGAAAACAAACTTCTTAGACTGAACTTTGGAGGGGTGGAAAAAAAGAAAGGTGAACACACTGAGTACTGTGAAACCGATATATATTTAGTTGTTGAGGCTTCGCTGTTATTTCCCATTATATATAGGTGTTCTGCTTTTTTCCCCCCCTTGACCTTGAAAAATGAAAAACATGTACTTTATGTTTTATGCTTTATGGCTGTTTCAACTGGAAATGAAATAAATGAAACGAAGGGTCTGATTTTTCTTCAGTACAGTACACGTACCTACCTAATAAACTGGTGTGTCCACCAAACCATATTTATAAGCCTAACAATATTTTTAAGCCAAACAGAGAAATGAATGACGAAGGAGTTTTTCCCATAAATCTTTATATTATAAATGAGAGAAGCAGTGAATGTGTTTTGTTGTTTTTCTTTCTTTAATGTTGAAAAGGCCCTCATACAGCTTTCCAGTGCTGTCATTCTGCCCGTTTCTCTGAACATCAGTAGCAATTACCTCCACCTCCACCATCCGCTGCTATCCAGTCCCGCATTCATACCGCATATTTTAAAGCAGGCAAACCTGCGTCATTAATCTCAGTATTATAATCCTTAAAATCAATAACATTATTTCACGGTTTATCAACATCATTATTAAATAGTTAGTTGAGTATGTACAATCTGTTTGTGGCAGGAGGAATAGATGGGTCATCCTCAGGCAGTCTATTAATGCTTTCATCTGTGACATCAGTGACGATACTTGGTGCAGCCCTCGACACGGCGCACAGGGGCAGCCCAGGGTCTACGAACACCCCCCACAGACGGCATGGAATGCCCCGCCTGGAGCTCAGTACTCAGTCAGTCAGTCTTGGTAACTGTAAGAGGCCTCTTTTGAACTTGGCACCAGCCCCCTCTCTGCATCCTCCCACAGAGACAGACCGAAATTCATAGAAAGAAAGAATATAAGGGCAAGTAAAAATACTGGTAAGCCTAGGAGTCGGCGTCATTCCGCTGTGTCCCCCCGCCAGCGGCTGCGACATTAGGAGAAAAAGAAAAACGGACAGAGAGAAGATTAGACAGGCGTAAATGTGTAATGCATGTGAGAAAAAGACATTTCCTGTTTGTGGCTCAGAGGAGCCGGGGTCTGTGTCGAAAACAATCCTGTGAGAAAACAAACAACGTCGTGCACACGTTGAGGTCACTTCCTGCAGCTTCTTATGGTCTCCTTGCAACACAGTCAGAGCAGGAAGTCAGACTGTCAAAGAGAGCGAACGCGTCTATCAGCAGCATCTTTCTCCCGAATGGCATCTTTATCTTCTCTCTATTTCTCTCTCTCTCGTACTGGCATCCTCAGGGATGAGGCAGGTTCATGCGGTCTTCGATGAGCGTGCTCTCGGCCCCCTGCAGCTCCATGCACTGCCGCACAGTCGCCAGGACGCCGTTGAGGCGCCGGTCCAAAGCAGCAAGGTGAGGCTCGGTCAGCACAGGGTAGGCGGGGTCATGGGCCGTGGCCTGACGCATCGTTGAACTTAATGCTCCGCCTTTCAGCAGGTTCAGCCTATTCCAGGTGGACACGCGGACCCTGAGAGAGAGCGAGCAAGCGAGAGAGAGAGAGAAAGAGAAAACGAGAGAGTGACAAAAAAAGAGAATAACAATTGAGTAAGAGGGAGAGAAAGTGACAGTGAGTAAGAAAGTGAGAGAGAGAGAGATAGAGAGATAGAGAGAGTAGCAGTAAGTCGATGTGAGAGGAAATCGTTATATATACGCACACATACACATATATATATATATATATACACATACATACATATATATATATATATATATATACACACACACACACACATATATATAGGAATATATATAGGAATATATATATATATAGGAATACTACATAATACACTAGGAGATTTAATGAAGTGAATTATAAATGATAACAAACAAGAAATATAGGAAAGTGTCCTTTATCAATTTTGCTCACTCAGGCTTTGATTTATGAAGATGCCAAATACTGAGTAATAAATTGCGTATACAGTGTCGTAGATTACACATGCAATAAGTAGGTGTTTTGTGAGTGATTTACAAAGAATAATTGATGATGTACGCAAACAGGTGGAGAAAACAATATTTAAATGAGGCTTTTTTAGTTGAAATAAAAGAAAACGTAGTCTGAATTTCTCTCAATAGAGTAGTACCTAATAAACTGGCCATTCCACTATCAGCAGCCATGGCAAAAAAATTTATAACAATAAATAAATAAATAAAATAATTACAGAAAAAAAATATTGAGTCGGCAGTGTGGGCGAAATAAGTACTGAGCCAACCAAAACAGAAAAAATAGCCTATAATAAAACTTTGGCAACAAAAGAACAGAATTTTCTGATTTCATGACATGAACGTCAGTTAATTACAGTATGACTATACAGAGGAGTCTAACACATCATCTGTAAGCAGTGATATAAATAAGCCAAGTGCTTTTGTGCATGAAGTAGAGGAGACAAACATACACATTCTAGCATATTTTCTTACATTTTAAAACTTGAGGCTACTTTTTTTTTAAGTATATCCTTTATTAATGGAATGGTAAAAAAAAAAGCTAATTTAGACAATTTTTCATTCTTAACCCAAATGTAGTTCATCAGGTAAGAAGATTTGGTGTCTGATGTTTACGTAGTTTTGCACTAGAGCTAATAAGAGCTAATGTAGCTAAGAAATAATGAAAGTCTATAGCACTATTCAGAGGGAATTAGTTTTACATGAGGAGGTGGCATAATCTAATTTTTACCTGCGTTTTGTGCCTGAATTTGCAATTTGAATTTGAAAACAAGCCTTAGACATAATCTCCGTTTATATTAATCCTGTGAGAATCTAAACGTCTGTGAAAACTCTCGTATTGTGTAGAAAGAGAGTGTAAGTATGGAGGCATTAGAAGAAGTATGTGCTTGTGTTCTCTGTAGCTAAAACCAAGCTGATATGAACCCACCTCAATTGTGCAACTCAGAATATTAAAACACATAAAAAGTACAGAAAAACATTTGATTTTATGCAGTGATGCTGGCTGTGAATTTCCAAGCTAATAATGCTAAGAATACACTGCATGTATTTCAAACACCTAAAGTAGATGTTTAAGATGAACAAAAATGGCTAAATTAAATGCTTTGACGTGTTCCTGGATTCAAAGCAGTGCCTAAATCAAGTAGCCACTTCCATCTCTGCTATTTTTACAGAGATCTATCATCCTGTGTGAACTGCTTATAAACGTTACAGACGTCCTATCTGTCTAATCCCATTCCAATAGTGGTTTACTCACCCAAAATTGTTAAAGCTGACATACAGCTGTGTGCAAAACCTAATTTGAACATTCCTGGACAAATGACATGGTTTTGTTGATTTCTGTTGAAGGGAAAACATCCTCTACAGAGAACCACCTTAAATATTTTTATGTAAATGTTATCTAATTTGCATATGACTGTAGATTTTTATTATATCAGCTTTGTAACATCCCCCATTTCCTTCTGTTTAGCCATTTTATTTTATTGTTTTCTCCAGCCAGATGTTTGCTCAACTGCACGGTACATTTTGTTAAACCAACTATGTTCAAGTGAGTATGATCAACAGTTTTTAAACATATTTGAAACGAAAGAGTTATGTTTAAACAAAACAAACCAAAAAACTGGCTAAACACTCACACCACAATGACAGCTGGCGCTGTGCGAAATGCCTCTCAGAGGCATTCATTTACACACACAATCGCCATTCTCATCTCAATCGCTTAGTAAACTGCACTGTGGGTGCTGAACTGATCTCTTTGCATTAACACAGCCCATATTTTCCACCCTGCCCAAACTGCATATCCATTAAAGCCCACAAAACAGACCACACGTGCCATTTTGCTCATCTGAAAGACTCAATCCTCCACAGACCCCGTTAATAAATCAGCTTTTTTTCCCCCAGACTTTTTTGTTGGTGCTATCAAGTTTGCATGTTTTTGACACACATTTAGTAAATCAGGGATTCTGTTAACAGTTACTCTCATCCTTTAACTGAAAGATTCATTGCAGGTCTTTACCTCGGCCTTTCTTGCACAGACATCTATAGAAATGGCCATGAGCACACATGTAAACCAACAGAGTGGGCAGTAGCAGCTAGGAGTTTCCAGTCATGAAATGATTTGATGTCAGATCTGTTTCAAAGTGAAGCCAACGGTAAAGATAACCTCTATGTCCTGTTTACAGCTACTCACACTATGCCTAATTTGAATTTTCTGACTCATTATCAGAAGCCTTTACTGACCTCAATAACTGACCTCTTTATCCTCTGTTGACCGCCAAGATCAAATGCTCCATTTTTGTGCTAATCCCCCAAACCTGAGTCATGTTAAAATACTGCAAAAACTAGTCTTCTGTGCAGGCTGATGGGACCTTGAACAGCTCTAAAATGCGGACTGGATGGGGGGACCTTCAGGACTGGATAGGGAACATCTGTTTTGTGGGGTTATTTTGGATCACACAGCAAAATAGCCGTGTCCTATTTCGCATGCGACCCAGATAACTCTTCAGTTTTTTTTTTTAGAGAAACCTGCAGCAGAAGGTGCGTGCATGCAGGCATTCTGGCCTCTACGACTCTACTCTTCTATAGGATACTGCTGGCTACTTTACAAACACAGTAAAACATGACGTGCTGATGTGTTTTGCCATGTCTGAGCCTACATTTAAAGTTCCAAGGTTCATGCATTAAGAGTTCTGAAGGGCCAGCTGATATGAGTAGATGGATAATTAGAGCTGAGTCACTGACTCCCAGCAAAAAGCAGAACCCTAGAATAGAGATTTGGGCATCATCATGGTTACATGAAGCCTCTTGTGTGAAGAGGGGGAGCAAAACAAAAACCAGAACTTGGTCGTTGCGGTGAGGAAGAAACTGTCAGAAAGGATATAATGTCAGTGCATCCAAACAGGCAGTGCGCAAAATTTTAGACTTGTTTCTTTAGTTTCTGAGATATAGAAGCTTTGAAAGAACACATACGGCCAAAAGTACGTGGACACCCAAACATGACACCTGTATGTGTTTGCTGAGCACGGAATGACAATACGGAGTTGAAACCCCTTTTGCTGCAGTACCAGCCTGCACCCTTTTAGGCAGACCTTCTACTAGATGTTGGCACATACCTGTGGGGATTCACCTCCATTCAGCCAAAAGAGCAGTTCAAATGAAAAATGACATTTGGAGCAAAATGACATCTTTATGGCCAAACCAATGCAATGTGTGCTGTTTCCTGAACAGAACTCCTACTTCACTTCATCTCCCCCAACTGCGACTGATCCACTGAATGAAACTCTTCTGAAATTTAGCAGTGCTGAGATAAAACTTCTAAAAAAGTTATTTATACAACAGCATGTTTGGGGGTAGTTTGATTTCATTCAGTTCTTCTGTCATTTGAAGTATACTGCCAGCTTTCTTGAGGTTGGGCCCTGATGACTCTGACGATGGGTCACAAAGCTTGACTTGCAGGTGCAGTTGCAAGTCATTGCAAATGTGTTTGATGGGACTGAGGTTCAGTGCAGGCCAGTCAAGTTCTTTCGCACCAAACACAAACAAAGTGTTTGTGGAGCTCCTGCATGGGAGCATAGTCATGCTGAAACAGGGAAAGGGTCTTCCCCAAACTATTGACACAAAGTTGGACATACACAGTTCTCTAAAATGTCACTGCTGTGGCAATAACATTTCTCTTCACTGGAACCAAGTGGCCAAAACAGTCCCAGACCATCATCCGCCTCCTCCAAACTTGACTGTTGGCATTGTTGGCATAGACTGCCTTCACACAGTGAAGATTTTTTTTTATGCAGCTTTAGTGGTTTATTGGGCAGTAGAAAGGAAGTGCGTATCTGCTTGGCCACAGTGAGCCAGAGGAATTGTGGAACTCCAGTGAGTGTTGCAACTGAGGACAGCCAATTTTTACACGCTACATGCTTCAGCACTTAGTGATCCTGTTCTGTTAGCTTTTGTGGTCTACCACTTTGTGGCTTAGCTGTTGCTGCTCCTGGATGTTTTTACTTCAGAATAATAGCATTTACAGTTGACTGGCTCAGATCTGGAAGACCTGACAGTTAAAGAACTGACCTGTTGGAAAAATGACTTTGACAGTGACGTATTGAAAATCTATTCTGAGTGTTTGTCTATGGGAGATCGTACGTCTGCATGCTTGATTTATACACTCGTTAACAATGAATGTGGCCAAAACAGCCAAACTCACTTTTTTGTCCAGGTAGCGTATTTACTTTTGAAATACTGATGCTAGATGCATGAAATTTTAACTTAACAGATACAAAAAATAAATTAATTAAAAACTTGATTAAAACATTAGAGGGAAGATATCTTCTCTCACAGGCCCTCATTAATATTGTTAGGCAAATAACATTACTTATCCAAAACAGTAACTTCATATTTAGTACATTAGTTGTTAATTAAAATGAGATCTTTTCAGCAGTCTAAATAATTTTATAGTAGATTTGTCAAAGCAGGTATGATATGCATCTTAAAACACATGTTAACCAAACGATAGTTGCTGAAATGTTCATGCACCTAGTCAAAGTTCAGAAGAAACGACTGACAGTTTCCATCTTTTTCTATATTAAAGGCTCTATATGTCAAACAAATAAATTTGTGTATGCTGTCTGTTGGGCAGAATCACACTTTTTCCTGAAAGTTTTCAGCAAATCAGATGGTCAGGCAGGTCTTTAGTGATTAAACACGGCCAGGCCTTAAATTTAAATAGCTGTGATCAAGTTGCGCACTGTTAGAATGATCTGGATTTCTACATAGAGTCTAATCTGATGTTGCATGACAGAGACATATTAGTTATCTAACTAATGTATGCATCTCAATATTTTACAGAATCATATCTTCACTGAACAAATGTTTTATACAAATCAAGGTCAGTGATGAAAACAGAACCTCTAGACAGTCTACAATCATGGAGGGACAAATTCCAAGTTGAGGTAATCACATAGCAGATAGATGGAGTGTCTGCCTGTGACTCAGGAAAGATTGGCTATGCAACACGATAATGATCTAATATACAGGAGTGGCTCAAGCTGACCAATCTGGAGCAAACAAACAGTATTTCAAAATGACCAATTCACAAATTAAGATGCGTATCGTGACCTGAAGCAGGTCATTCTAGTAAGACATCTTATTTAAAAAAAAACAAAACAAAAACAAACAAACAAACAAAAAAAAACTGAAAATAAATAACTGCTGATAGAAAGGAATGGCTCAAGCTGACCAATTTTGGCACAAACAAACAGACCTGTTCACAAAGCAGGTCACTCTAGTAAGCCATCTAAATAAATAAATAAATAAAATTAATTTAAATTTAAAATAACTAACTGCTGCACAGGTCCAATCAGCAGCTACAGAAGTTTAGGTTGACATCATTTTTTGATTGAAATTATTGGGTTCACATTTTTTTTTTATCATTGGAATTGTCTTTATGTATAATGACTAAGATGAAGATCTGATCACATTTTAAGAGAAATCCAAAGGGTCAATAACCTTCTCTCACAATCACATCTCCCACAATGCAGGGCACGAGTGCTAAACAGACTTTTAAGCTCGGGTGGCAAAATTTGTCATTCCGCTATTATTAATTCAGTTGCCCAGATAAGTATCTTTTAGTAAGTTTTTTTTTTCCTTACACAAACACCACTCTCGTTATGAGCAACCGTAAGGTGCGCTGAAAGGCACATCTGTACTAGTTCCATTCTTGTCTTGATCAAGTTTGATGACTTTGGTGGTACTCAGAATTTGTCGAATGTGAGCACTGATATGGGTCTAGTGCAAAAAAATAAATAAATAAAAAATTAAATCATTTTTTCTACAGGTAAATCCAGTATTATTCAAGTGATAGGGGGCCTGTGCCTGGTGTCAGTTAACCAAGTTACCACAGTAACAGCCCTCTTGTAACGTATTTAGTACTGTTTTTTAAAAAAAAATAGTTTATTTATAGTTTTTTCTTTTTTTTTTTTCATGGCAAGAAGGCAAACATAACTGAACTTTTAAACATGTTGGATGACAAGATCTCCCACACTCTAAAAAAATAAAAAATGGTTCTTCAAGGGTTCTTCAGTAAAGACAATGATTCTATATAAAACCAGAAACACCTTTTTGAAAAGAGTTCTGTATAGCACCAAAAAGGGTTCTTCTATTGCTGCAAACTTGACATTGTACATCATTCTGTTAGTGTATACATTAGGACATCCTCAGTCTTCACTGAACAAATGTTTTAAAGAGTTAAGGTCAATAATGGAAAAAAGAGCCTCTAGGATAATTTATCTTTCAGAGGATGTGAGAAGAACACCTTATAAAACTAAAAAAGGAAAACCATTTCTAGAGATCTAAGCTTCTATCACTTCTCAGTGTCTGTCTTAGGAACCGTCATAAAATTACAGAAAGAAAAATTATTTTTCCTTGTGTATCTTACACTTGGCAAATAAAAATTTCTGATACCAATTCAGGGGAGGTAGCATATAAATGGAAGAAATCAAGTGCTCAATTCCTCAAACTAGCAACAATGAGCCAAGTGACACTGACTAACACGACATAACCCGTGTCCTCTGTGCTTGATATGTTTATGGGACTAGCATAAGAAAATCACTCAGAGAATGTTAGAGAGGAAACCCTGGTCTCCACAAATACAAAAACCCAAGACTCAGGTGTGCTGAAATCCACCCAGATGTTCCACAGCGTGACACGCTGTGAACGATGCTGTCAAAGTTAGACTTTTTGGTAAAAGCACAGTGTTATGTTTGAAGAAAACAAAATCACCAGACCACCAAAATCAGGGCATGGACAGTCTACAGTCACTAAGGGACAAATTATAAGTTGAGAAAATTACACAGCAGATGAATGGAGTGTCTGGCTGTGACTCACCAGAGATCGGATATGCAACACGATAATGATCTAATATATAGGAGTGGCTCAAGATGACCAATTTAGAGCAAACAAACAGTATTTCAGAATGACCAATTCACAATTTGAGACGTGTATCATGACCTGTACCTGTTACTCTAGTAAGACATCTCATAAAAAAACATGAACTGAAAATAACTAACTGTGGCACAGGTCTAATCAACAGCTAAGCTTAGGTTCCAAAATTTGTCATTCCACTATTATTTCAACTGCCCAGTTAAACTTCTTTTAGTAAGTCTTTTAGTAAGGTTTTTTCCTTACGCTGATACCCAAACACCACACTCTCACTATGAGCAAATACAATGCACACTGTTTTGATCACATTTGAAGACAAAGTACATATGGTGGTACTTATCGGAATTTGCCAGATGGGAGCACTGATATGGATCCAATACCCCAAAAAAAAACAAAAACAAAAAAAAACGATTAAATTACATACACAAAGGAGATGATCGGGTATTATTCAGGAGGTGGTAGGCCTGTGCCCGGTTACAGTTTACCAAGTTACCACCGCCTCCCTGTGACAGAAAAAATGTACAAAACAAAACCAAAAGACCACGTTCTGTATAGAACCATGAACACTCAAAAGAACCATTTGCATGCTTAAAGGATTCTTCGCATTCTGAAATGGTTCTTCAGACTGACAGAGAATGTGCTGTATATGATTCTATATAGAACCTTTTGAAAACATTTCTACATACCAAAAAGGGTTCTTCTATTCTTACCAGTTTGACACTGTCTTTATGTTAATGTATACATTAATAACATATTTACTGTACCAAGCATGGAGGAGACTGTTGTAGAAACACACTTGGTGTGGCAGACAGATATCATGCTTGTACAAAAAGCTGCCTCTATGGCACAGTGTATATTTTAAGACATCCTCAGACCACAGCGTTTCAGACAGACAAAACAGCTTTGGGGAAAAATACAATGAGAAGAGAACAAAAGGGCAAAACTAGCAGTTTTTCACCTGGCTTTGGAAAAGAAGACTACGCTAAGTGGCTGGCATTTGCCATTTCAGTCTTAATTACAGATTAATTATGTGGCCAATTTAACGATAACTATATACTACAACCACAGCTTTAACTGAACTGTGCTTTTATTCTTTTATTTAACAAAGATTGAGCCTCAACTCAACATGTGATCACTGTTTGCGCGCCTGTGTTCGGGCCAGCGCTAGCTGTCTCAAAGTACACAAAGAAAAATAATTATGCTACTGTTATTATGATTGTTATTAATGTTGTATGTGTTAAATAGCACATGGAAATAAAAAAGCGGCTAAAACATAAACAGACCCATTACTTAATAGATGGATTGATCTGGGAAATAACTGAGAAATCTAATAAGATAACTAATAGCTGTGCTCAAATGTCATCTACATAAAGTTTAAGTAAACATTAAACAGAAATAAGACATTTACAGGTTATATTAACCATCCTTTATAGATACATAGTATCTATTATGAGGGAAAACAAAAACAAAAAATGCTCCCGCTTCACCAGAAGAAAACTGCAGAAAAATCAGGAAATCAAGAAGGATAAGCACTTGACTGTAGTGGAAGAGCATTTAAAAAACAAGAGCTACACAAGAGGGTCTTAAGAGATGAATGATGGTTAACTATAGTGTTTTATATTGGGTTAACTATGGTGTACTGCCTCTTGCAAAAAACAGTAACACAATATTGTGTAGTCTTGTCAGCCATGTTACCCTGGCGTGCTTTAATAGCAGTCTGTAACCACAATGGCCACTACTAAATATGCTCTTCCAGCTAACTCAGTTATCTTTATACGAGTTAAGCACCTACTGTGACCAAAAAACGACAACAAAGCATAAGCCTGTTTTTAATTCTACAGACATAAGCACATAACAAAAAAAGGGAAGGAAAGAGGGAATGGCAGTTTTTCAGAGGATGACTTTTGTCTTTTTTTTTTTTTTCTTTTTCAAATCGATGGGGTATCATCATGTTGCAACACCCCTTGAATAAAGCCCTCCTTACAGAACATGCTACTTAGTTTTGCAGCTAAGCACAATGTGCCATTCAGTCTAGCACCGGAACTAATAAACTTGTTAAAGGCGCTGATGATGAGAAAGCCACCCTGAGGCTGACTTGTGACTAAATCTATTCATATTTTAAGTGGAACTGGGCTGGACATACACAATGACTGCTTTGGATGAAAGAGCTTGAACAAAATTATAGTGTCTAAAGTGATGCAATGAGATTATTTGTTGTTCAGTATCATTTGTGATGTAAAAAGAGTGATTTGTACTATAGTTAGACTAAACCGTCAACACATAATTCATCACTGTTTCAAATATTCGTTAGTTCTTGTATTCAGGATGTGACTGTGTCTGGGTGCATGTGCATCTGTAATAAAGGTTAAGGGTGACTGTGTATGTGAGGACACTCACATGCAGCACTGATAGAGAGGAGCCAGAATGCTTCTTTCATCTAAAGCTGGGTTCCCAAAACTGCAAACCAAGAACACACAGAACACCACATTAAAAGAAAACCTTTAAATAAGAACCTGTCTAACTTTTCACTAAGGTCCTTCTATTCTTTCTCTTTTCGCCCTCCCTTTCTCTCTTTTCACCTTTTAGCATTGTCCAGAAGAATGAGCATACTGGCTCCACCGTCGTCTTGGAAACTCTCGTAGTGATGCCGATCTGCATTGCCAATGAGGTAATCAAAAATGGCCGTGTCAATAACATCCAAAAGGCGTGGACCAGCGTCGTACGGAGGCATCTTCTTCACTGCCTCACAGTAACTCTCATCATACTCCCACCTAACACACACACACACACACACACACACACACACACACACACACACAGATAACAAAAGTTATTTAATAATACTGAAGTACACAGAGCATCAGTGAAGCTCAAGAAGTAATTATTAAACAGCGTCAAAATGTATGTCAATATAGACAAACAACACATTTTTGACAGATATGTAGCTTTGAAACTGGGTCATCTGGGGAAGCTGCTTGTTAGTTAACCCCAACCAAGGGTGTGACAGGTCAACTGATGAAAAACCTTCCCCTCTTTCCCCTCTCTGCAAACGCAGTAGTCCAACTGAGGTCAAGGGAAAAATACAGATGTGCATTTGGACTAATTTTGATAATCAAGTATGTGGGTTAATAAAAGAATATTCTGTTAACTGCAAGAAAGCAAAAAAAAATAAATCTGCCTGTATTAATGTACATAAAAATATAATATCCTCTAACATAACCTTGTTACAGGCTTATGTTCATGTTCAAGCATTTGTGTTCTGTAGTAGTTACAATATTAAAATTACATAATACACATACTTAATCACCAATACAAGGAAAACTGTTGCACTTTAAATATGTGTTACAATAAAATCAGCATTTCACTGAAATGCTGGCCAGTACATTTTGTCTCTGACAGCCTCTTTGCAAGGTAACAAGTACCTGAATTGTGATTCCAGTAGTGACTACCTAATGTGGAATTTCTGAAATGATCATATAACCCATAATTAACACTTTACTGCAGATGAGGTTAAATGATCAATAACTATCCATTTTACCTCATCTGTAGTTTAAAATAAGCTCACACTACAATACATAAGGTACTGTGCAAAAGTTTTAGGCACTTAATAAAATTTGATTAAAAAGCTATTTATCTGGTTAAGCGTTTATTTGCTCAGACAAACAGTGGAATTACAATAAATACAAATAATATTCATGTTTTAATGTATCAAATTAATACAACGGATTTTTTGTATCTCACTGAGCTCATTTTACCATTTCCAAACCTCTCCTCATAGCAGCCCAGTATTATCTGCAGTCATCATCCATTAACTTGTAGGTCTAACAAAAGTTAAATTAAATGTGCTGTTGGAGGAATTGAATGTAAATGAACTGACATTACTTAAGGAAAAGGTAAGGTTAACACAAACCCATCTAATACCCAAAATTAGATAAGTTTGTATGACTTATCTAAATTAAATGATCTTAACTAGATTTACCCATGTAACTAAAACTTATACAAGAAAGAGTATGTGTTACTACATTTGCATTAGTAATTTTAAGAAATTAGTAAAGGAAAACAAAAAAAGAAACGCAATTATAATGGTTTACAGTGCAATAGCTGGGGGCATCGAGGGGAGACTTGGGACCAAACTTTGTTCTTCAAACTGGCTCACATGGTATCAACCACTTTATTTGAGAAAAAGCAAGTTATTGTTACTTTTATACTGTATTTAAATTTATTTGCAATTTATTTGCATTTATTCTAATGACAGAGCTTTTACAAGCAAAAGTCAATTATTACCATAATACCCAGTTTTAAATTTTGTGCTTAAGCATGTAGGTGCCCAAGACTTTGACACATTACTGTGTACGAAATGGAGTGAGCGTAAGACAGGTTAAAATGATAAAGATGGGTCACTGTTTACATTTACATGGCCATGACAAAGCTGAATCAGACAATTTGTTGAAGTCCTAGTCTTCATTGTATCTGGCTCTATTGATATTCACTGTTATCCATTATAGGAGACTAAGAGATTAGAAATTTCCAGCACTGGTGACTACGTGCATCATATGCCGCGATTCACTGCATGTCCCGAAGTTTCAGTATCTGAATACCGGCACCTGGATCAGCTAACCAAGAATGATTAATTGTGCATGCCCCACAAACTGCTCTGTAATCAGCTCTGTAATGCACTGCAGAAGAGCTTGAGAAGCCATTCTGTACTTCTGTACCAAATTCCAAAGTAAATCTCAAACAAGTAAAGAGACCAAAGAAAAGATGAAAAGATTTTAACAAAAAGTGCCAGTCTCAGTCTGACGTTTGTGCCAGGTTGCTGACTGTGCTTCAACCACCCTGCAAACAGCTTCTGCTCAGGTCCAGTGTATGAAAGACTGCCCAGAGCCTCTAGAGACATCTATTCTTCAGTAAAATCCAGGAGGGGTCAGCTTGTGGTTAGCCACCACTAGCTTGAGTGTGTAAACGAGAAGAGACACAAAACATGTGATTTTCAACGAAGTTCTCATGGCACATGGTTTTCAAAGAATTTTACATTGCATGCAGACTGTGGCTTCAAGTTTGCAGACATGACAAAAGTTGTTAAAAAAAACAACAAAAAAAACACACACACACACACACATCACTCAAGTGATCCAAGCTCCTACTTTTATTCATTACAATGCTGAAGGAGTTACCTCTGTAATTGTCTATCTGTAATAAGAAGAGCAAAAAAGGATGAAAAAATAAAGGCTACTTTAAATTAATTTACATTCTTTTTTTTTTTCCTTTTGGATTTTTACCCAATTTTCTCTCCAAATTTAGTCGTCTCCAATTCCACCCGCTAGTTAGGACTCCCCCAATCACACGATACCATCAATGCTAGGAGGGTGAAGGCTAACACAGGCTTCCTCCGAGACCTGTGAAGCTGATGCAATGTCACTGGACAGTTGAAAGCGCCAACCGCCAGATCTGTTACGTCAGCTAACAGACGCCTGCGCTGACTAGCATCGCGCTGAGTGATGGGGGGAGAAGGGGGGGCCATCCTACCCACCCAGAGAGAGCGAGGCCAGTTGTGCTCTCTTGGACTCCCGGCTACGGATGGCTATTGCATCACCAGGGATCGAACTCACGGCCAACGCTTAGACGGTTGCGCCACTCGTGAGCATTAATTCACATTCTTAGTATTCTTATTCATTCATAATTTTGACCCTAACATACCACAAACATTTTAATTGCCTGTCCAAATTATATTCTGATTTTAAGCCTTCAAAATATTAATCATTACAATCATTTTCTGCTTTATAGCACAAATTGGTGTGATTCCTTCATGTGTCCATGACTTCCATTTTTCCATGAAGATACTGGTCATGTTAAAAGTTTAACCTCTAGAGTTTGGACGTAGTCAATGATGGCGGCATAAAGGACTAGCTCCCGCTCATTAAAAGGAAAAAGATTCCCTGAATTCACATTTCATAAAAAGAAAACACTTTCAATCTTTAATGGAACGGGGTGGGAGAACAAGAAGATGGAGAAAGACCAAAAACTCTGAAAAACAAACTGAAGCGACAGATAAAGTAGATGAGGGCAACACGTCGGAGGCGGACGATAGCTGTACTGAGGGTGAGCACATGGAAACCGAAACGGCTGCTGTTCTCCGCTCAGGTCTGAAAGATGTTGTCAGAGAAATTCATGACTTAAAAACTGAATTAAGGTCTGACCTGGCCACATTCAAAAAGGAACGCAAAAAAGAAATGAGAGAAGAAAATTTCGAAATTTCAAAATAGGTATCAATCAGAGACTCACAGAGACGGCCACAGAGTTAGCATCGCAAGCTACAAGAATTGAAGAAATGGAGCAAAGAATGGGCGAAACTGAAATGTGGAATATGGAGGTCAGGGACGCTCTTCTTCAAACGCTGAAACAGCAGAGGACCATACAGGAGAAGCTGACAGACCAAGAAGGTAGAAGCAGACGCAACAATATTCGCATTTTTGGCCTGGCGGAGAGCATAGAGGGTAGCGCCATGTCGCAGTTCGTTAAGCAGATATTGAGAACCGAGCTCTCCATACCCGCCGAAATTGATCTGCAAATCCAGCGGGCACACAGAGCATTAGCACCGAAGCCAAGCCCAGACCAACCGCCAAGATCTACTGTCGTGAACTTCCTCCAGTACAAGGTAAAGGAGATGGTTTTGAGAAAAGCCTGGCAGAAAAAGATGCAGTACCAGGGTCGGATGCTGTTTTTCGATCATGACTACGCTACAGAAGTACACCAGAAACGCAAGGAATACATCGGAATAAAGAAAGTCTTGAAAGAAAGAGGCATTTGCTTCCAGACACCCCTGACCAAGATGAGAATCCACTGGGACTCTGGCCCACGGACGTATGGAAGTGCACAAGAGGCAGCACAGGACCTGAGGAGGAAAGGGTTCGATGTCCAAATTCCCGACAACACCACATCCATGGTGGGGATGGATGAGCGGCTTCAGCGTGCATTGCAGTGGCGGCGAGCTGGAAACTCCAGTGATCGATCAACGGCCGAGCGAGCTAAGCAAAAACTACAAGAATTTCAAAGGAAATAAAAGATATGCTTGGTATTTGATATCAAAGTAGAAACGAGGAGATGTAAAATGATGTAGTTACATGCTCGATCGGCGGAATTATATGAATACGTTCAGTTATACTTAACGCTAAAGTTAAATAGTTCAAGTTAGACGGTCTTTGCTGTCAGTTCAAGTTTGATCAGGAATTTTCTTAGACGAGTTGAGCTGGATTTTGCTAGAATGTGTGAGAGTTTGGGACTAATAAGACCACCTCTTGCTGCTAGACAGGGGCCCCCACATTTCGTGAAATATTCCCCTCGACCCACGAAAACAGCGTGGGGGGCGTGCAGTAGATGCACCCACCTTTGGAAGTCACCCTATTCCTTTTCCTTTATTGAGTCACCAGAGGTTCTCATGGCTTATGTTATTGTTAACGGTTGTCAGGGATACAGAATGAGTTACAAATGTTCGATAGGAATAACATGAATGTTATTAAACTGGTGTCACTGAATGTCAATGGAATGAATAACCCAATCAAAAGAAGCAAAGTAATTCTTAAAATGAGGAAGCTTAAAGCACATATAATATTTACTCAAGAAACTCATTTAGCTAAGGGGGAACATGAGAAGCTGAAAAAAATTGGGTTTAGAAACACATTCTATAGTACGCATAGGCAGTGATAAGAGGGGGGTACCAATTCTTATTCAAAATTCTGTCACTTTTGAATGCTCTAAGGAAATCAGTGACAAGGAAGGCAGATATATTATAGTTAAGGGAAAACTAGAACATGAAAAAGTAACATTGGTTAATATATATGCCCCACCAGATAGTGATAAACATTTTTTTAAATCCCTATTTAAAATAATTGATTCAGATTCAGAAGGCATCGTGATTTGTGGGGGAGATTTTAATATAATTTTAGATCACAGTTTAGACACAACAAGCCTTAAAAGGAATAAGATGCACATGAAATTCATGAATACGTCTTTAAAGGAACAAGGAATGATCGATGTCTGGAGGGAACTCAACCCATCAGAAAAATTCTATACACACTATTACATCCCACATAACGCTCACTCAAGAATTGACTATATACTTATCAATAGCTGGGACTTACATAGGGTAACAGACTGTAAAATTGGAGCAGCTGATATATCAGACCATAATGCTGTCTGTCTAGATATACATTTGGGCAATATACAGAAAAACACCATCTGGAGACTTAATGTAGGTATTTTGAACAATAACACAATAATTGAACAGATTAAAACGGAAATTAGAAGATATATTGAGGAAAATAATACAGAAGAAATTAACCCTATTATTTTATGGGATGCCCTGAAAGCCGTTATACGGGGAAAGTCAATAGCTCTTACCTCTCTTCAAAAGAAGTTAAAACAAGCTGCATATCTTGAACTGATTGAGAAATTAAGAAGCTTTGAAATACAATATCAAAATGCCCAACAAACACATATCTTACAGCAAATAAAGACCACTCAAGGAGAAATAGATAATACTTTAACAGGAGAGGTAGAGAAAAAAACTAAGATTTCTAAAACAGGCATATTATGAGACAGGGGCCAAAGCTACTACATTACTAGCAAGACGACTACGTAAACTACAGGCTTCAAACACAATACACAAGATCAGGGATCCCTGTTCTGATCAACAATTGCATAATCCAAAAGAAATTGAGAATGTATTCAAGGATAACTATAAAAATCTATATACACAACCTCCTGCTTCAGATGAGATAACAATTAGACATTTCCTCGACTCTCTTGACCTACCATCTGTCCGAGAATCACAAAACAAAAATATCATAGCTACTATCACACCCGAAGAAGTATCCGAAGCTATATCCAGACTTAAGGCTAATAAGTCTCCAGGTGTTGATGGTTTCCCAGCAGAATGGTATAGGACTTTTAAGGAAGAATTAACCCTCCCTACTTGCTTCATCTTTTAACTGGACCCTTAAAGAAGGACAGTTGCCACCTTCATGGAAAAATACAATAACATCATTAATTCCCAAGGATGGGAGGGATCCAGAGTACTGCACTAATTTTCGTCCTATATCTTTTCTCACTGTAGATTACAAGATATATATCTCAGTTATTGCTAAAAGATATAGGACATTTATGCCACATCTAATTGATGAAGATCAAACAGGCTTTATCATAGGCCGCCAAACGCAAGATAACATCAGAAGAACTCTGCATGTTATAAATTCAATACAAAAGAAAGGATTGATTGCTATGCTGATAAGTCTTGATGCTGAAAAGGCTTTTGATAGTGTGAATTGGATTTTTTTATATTTAGTGTTAGAGCGATTTGGGTTTAGCAAATATTCGATTAAGTGAATCAAAACTATACATCAAAACCCAACAGCTAGGATAAAAATTAATGTCAGCCTAACAGATAGGATAATCCTCGAAAGGGGCACTCGCCAAGGGTGTGGCTTCTTTCTGTTAATGTTTGGGACTCAGACACAGCCTCAGTCTTTAAGTCTAGGCTAAAAACTTACTTGTATAGTCCAGCCTTTGGTAATTAGTTTTCTCTGTCAGGTCTATACCTGCCAGAGTCTCTGCTGCTCTGCTAACACCGTAATCAGTCACCCATGACAGAACTGACTCTGTGTGTCTTTCCTTTCTTTCTTTTCTTTGCCGAGTTGAACAGCTGCCCATCCTGTGCGTCTGATGCTGCTGCCTCTTCTGCCTTGATCGGGCGCCACTGCTGCCAGCCCTCTGGACCGGCTTGACCACCATTGAGCTTCATGCTGTACAACGCCATGCAACCTCACCCTCATATCCTGACCCCACTGATGCTGCTGCTGCATAAACTAAACTAATCAAATTAATCATTTGCTCCACCTGTTTTCCCCATTTTTGTACTAACAATGTTTACTGTCCGGTGTTGACCAGAGGAGGATGGGTTCCCTTTCTGAGACTTGGTTCCTCTCAACGTTTCTTAGGGAGTTTTCCTTGCCACTGTGGCCACTGGCTTGCTCGTGGGGGCTTGGACCCAGATTTCTTTCTGTAATACTGATTTTTTTTTTTTTGTAAAGCTGCTTTGTGACAACACCTGTTGTAAAAAGCGCTATATAAATAAACTTTGCTTGCTTGCTTGCTGGTTTATCTCCTTTTCTTTTTGCCCTTTATATGGAACCTTTAGCACAAGCAATACATCAAACTACAGAACTAAAGGAATCATTATAAAGGGACAAACACATTATCAGTTTATTTGCAGATGATGTTATAATTTATTTGGACAGTCCTAATACAGGTTTCCCATACCTGATGAAAATCTTGAATATATATGGCAAACACTCAGGATATAATGTGAATGTTAACAAAACACAGATCTTGGCCTTTAACTATTCTCCCTCTCAGAAATCAGGAAGTTATTCCAACTGAAATGGGACGCAAAAAATATATCTAGGTGTGACCTTAACAAAACAACTCTCTCAACTTTTCAAAACAAATTTCAATATACTCATTTACAGATTAAAAGAGACATTGAGAACTGGTCCACCCTGCCACTAGATTTTAGCTCCAAAATTGAAATAATTAAAATGATTGTTGTTCCTAGACTCCTATACTTATTTCAATCTCTTCCTATTAAAATACCTCAAGAAAGTTTTCAAATATGGGATGATTTCCAGATTCATATGGAATGGTAGGAAGCCAAGAACAAAGTATTCCACATTGCAGTTGACTAAACAAAAGGGTGGGTTGACATTACCAAATCTTAAAGACTATTTTCAGGCAGCACAACTTGGACCATTAATTAAATGGTGTGATGAAAGCTATAGTGCAAAGTGCAAAGACACGGAGAAAACAGTAGAACAATTACCTATCCAGTCCCTCATTGGAAATACTTAAAAAGACATTACAAGATTCACTAGATCCAATAAGCTCCCATACACTAGATATTTGGTTTGATTTAATTTAACAGTATAAGTTTGAAAGGCAAATAATACTTACAAGTTGGTTTGCTTATGATGAGAAATTTAAACCTAGCTTGTCTGACCAGAGTTATAGAAAATGGGGAACAAAGGGGATCACCGCAGTATGTAGAATTATCAAGAATGGAAACGTGATGAGCTTCCAGGAATTGAAAGAGAATTATGTATTAGAAGATAAAGACTTTTTTAGATATTTACAACTAAGGGATTATCTTATGACTGAAATACAAAATGAACAAATTGTCAAGTCTTTAAATGCAGTTTTAGATGTAGTAGTGAAGATATACAATGGGACAAAATTTAAGGTGACGTCCCAGCTCTATTGCAGCCTGAGGGAATGTCAGGCTTCCTCGACTCTGTACATAAAAGCTAAATGGTAGGGAGACTTAAGCATTGATATTACAGAGGAAGAGTGGACTAAAATGTGTATAACACAGCACATGACCACTAAAGGATATGGAAAGAATTTGGATGGAAGAATTTTACCCGTTATTTTATAACTCCTGAAATACGGAGTAAACAAATTGGTTATCAACAGCCATGTTGGAAAATGTGTGGGAATAAGGAGGCCAATCATATATGCATCTTTTGGAAATGTAATAAACTGTACTCTTTTTGGGAAAATGTATACGATGTGGTTAAAGACATTTTAAGTTATTCAGTCCCTAAAGAATGCAGAGTTATGTACCTTGGAGATATAGATGAACGTTATAGATAATAAAAAATTTGACAAGAATACTTCTGACACCCAGCAAAAAAGTAATAACACGAAATTGGTATAAAATTGAACCCCCCTCAACAGAACAGTGGGTGGAAATTGTAAGACAAATTTATATACTAGGAAAAATGACTTACCAACTTCGGTTGAGGGAAAATGTATTTGCTAACAACTGGCGAAAATGGACAACATATGACACCATAAAAAATAAATAGACATAAATGCAAGGATATTGTATCTTTAAATATGATCATTTGATAAGAGTTTTGTAACCACAGACAACTGTGTTCCTGTCTGTCATGCTTCATCGTTTTTGAGGGAGGGAGACGTATACATTTACATCTATGTCTACTTATGTAAAAAAAAAAAAAACTCAAAACACTTAAGTGTAAAATAAAGTTTAACCTTTATGTACAAAGTCAATTTATCCACTAAATCCAACCAGTTTTTGAGGGAGTTACAGACCTTACGGCCTCTGCTGACTGTACACCGTTTTAATCGTTACTCTACTACCCAACACTGGATGTACAGGGTCTTTTCTTCCCCATTTTGTCAGAGGTTTGTGTTGAACTGAAATTAATTATTAATAATTCGTAAGAACAGGCCATGCCATCCCACCCCTATTCTTTGCCAATTGTGGCATTGAGTATTTAATCCTTAGCCATTGAGCATTCCAGATCTGGAAATTTGTTTGTCCCAGTTTCTCAACTGACTCCCGGAAATCTGCTGTGACTTTTTTGATAAGGACTTTTTTCTTCTTACACTAAAGGTTAAATCTATTATATTTTCATTGTGAGATTGGGCTAATTTACCAGTAACACATTTTTACCAATAATTATATTTACCATAATTATAATTATGCTAATAATTATGGAGCTGACTGTATTTCATTTAATAGATCCAGAAAAAGCCAGTGAAACATTATGCAAGGGTATGTGTACCTGGCGAGTTTGCCCTCTCTGTAGGTGCGTCCCCAGGGATGTCTGTGTTTTTGCAGTGGCCAGACGTCAGGCAGCCAGAGAGTCACTGAGCCCTCCATGACGTCCCCCTCGGCACACGCGGGCTCGCTCTCCCTGCAGTAATAACACTTCCCATAGAAACACGTATTATTCCCTACAGGGACACAAAGACATCACACACAACAGCCATTCAACTGTACAATTCAAACATAATATTACAATATTGAGACACATGCAGTCCTACCTAGTATTATTATGATATTAATATTATATTAAAATATTTTAATGCAAACTGAAAATATTAAAGCATGCTCATGAAACATTAATTTTATGAGCAACTGCAGGCGATGCTGCACTCACAGACATGTACAAACATGTCTGAACTCATTCAGACCTGCTAGCGGGGTGGGTGGAGTAGCAGCATTCCTTGTGTATACGCATGTTTGACTGCAGGCCTGAGGTGTTGCTGCTCTTTTGCTCACTGGTTATTATTATTTTTCTATCACTAATAAGCTTCTAGCAAAAAACAAAGTTAATATTCAGTTGTGCTGACTCCCAAAGAAAACCTAGAACAACATCGGCATGATTAAGGGGGAGCAGTAAGGGAGTGAGACAAAGGGGCAGAGGGTGTGAAAGAGAAGGGACATCTGTAGACGCCTACAAGCACATTGAGATGGCCTGTTTTGACAAATGACAGGTACTGTAATCACTTCTGAAGGCTGGTCAACCATTTTAGACTGTGCAGGGATCAGCTGTTATTAGATGAAGAGAAAACGCCTAATGTTAACCCCATGACCTGCAGCGTATACCTGACCTGTAAAACAGCAATTTCGGTTTACTGCAAGCAGTGTGCTTACAAAACACTTGCTCTTCTTTGTGTAGATTCTTTGAGGTCAGTGGTTCTCAAAATCTCTCTGCTCTATCCCTGTGCACTGCAAGTTAAACGGGAGCAAAAATCTGGAGTATCCGGAGGTCTCCGGCTACGTTCACATTACGAGCCTCGTTGCTTAAACACGATTTTTTGCTCAAATCCGATCTCTCTGACACGATGGTTCACACTCGTTTAGGTACGTGACTCAAATCTGTCATTAATGTTAATGAAGCAGTGTCCTGACTTGACCCGCATGTGCACAACCTGCTCAGTAACATCACGTGAATGAAGCTAACATACAAGCTAACTAGCAGAACGAGCCTTCACTGCCAAGATAATTAACTCTGATCAGCTCTCAGCTGTTCATTATTAGAGCAGGACGAAGGCGGAAAAGGTGAGATGTGTTGCTTTTCCACCTTTTACAGACTTCAACTTCTGTTTGGCGCTGCTGCCATGATAATGCTGAATGATGGCGCACGCACAGTGGGGGAAAAAAAAACAAACAAACATGAATTACAATCTGAGCGTTCACATTAAGGTCGCATGGCCACAAATTGGATACGTATCCGTTCTAGGACCACATATGGAAGTGGCTCTGGTCGGATTTGAAAAGATCAGATCTGTGTGTCCACACAGCCCTGAAATCATCATATCTGAGTCCCATTAGGGTAGAAGGTTGGATTTGTGCCACTTCAACCTGGTAATGTGAACGTAACCTCTGAAGACCAGTTTGAGAACCACTGCTTGTTCTCTTCAGAAGAACTGCAGTTTACAATATTGCATACAATGACATCAAGAAAATCAGATCATGGAAAATTTTCACTACTATTTTTAAAGATGATTTTAAATGATTTCCCATTCATCTGTGTCCAACATCAAAGGGCAGCAAAAGTGAAGCAAAACTACAGCATGTAGTACCCCATTAGTATTTTTTTGTCTTGTTTGATTGTTGCCAGTAATCATTACCATAACCCAGCTGACTTACGTAGGCTGGGGGTAGAATAATGTGAGAAAGAGAAACTCTTCCTAAGCATCTTTCTTGTAATGTTAGATCATATTTATTTTTTCCCCCCCAAGTGTTTAAAATATGTTAAAATGAACATTTATTGGAATTCACAGAAATATATGCATCTAATGATAAAATATGCTTTTAACATTCTCTACTGAACTGTTCCTAGAAATTCTGTCCTGTCTTTGTGGCTGTGGCTTTCATTTAATTAGATGAGCTGAACATCTAAAGTCACACAGATAGCATCATGGTAGAGAAAAATTTGGACACAGATGGACTACAGTCTGTAACTATAGACTTTCAAAGTGCACCTATATGATAATTGGAGGTGACAAAATGGACAATCAGTGAAGATACAAAGAGGTGTACTTAATGAAGTGGTCATGCTGATGTATTTTACAGTCACTCCCCTTCCATCATTTCCCTAGACACCTTCAAAAAGCTCGCACAATGCAGCAAAGTTAAATCAACGCATCGAGTATGTGGATGCGGACAAGCTCTGGGAAAAGCTTGAGGTTTTAACAGTACGTTGAAGACTAAGCAAAGTTCTGTAAATCACCTTGATATAAAGCATGGCTAGACTGGAAACTAAATTCTGCCCTGGACTTTGGTCAAGACCAGCCCTCTACAACCCCAGTGACCTCCAATCCTTGGACTAAGCCTGCTGTTACAGTGAGTGGATGCATATTTTATATTAAACATGGTTTATCTCTTAAATACATGAGCGTGAACATGTCGAAGACGCTGTAGCACGGCTGAGAACTGAAGTGACTGCTGGTTAGCTAGCTAGTTAATTAGCCAGTGTGTGATAGTACATTAACATTAAACTAGCCATCTGTAGCATCACATACATTCAGACTTAATACTCCTGCACTTCGGCCCTGCGGTTTCTCGCTCTGATATCCAAACAAATTGTGTTGCCCACCTTCATACTTAACTTCTTTGCATCTTGTTTAAGCACCCTACTGTTTTTTTTTTTTAATAACGCATTCCCTTCCCCCCTACACTTTTAGGTTTCGCTCTACCTCCCTCTAGCTAGTTCTGGGAGCGGCAGCATTTGCGGGATTGGCCGATGGCCACACACTGAGAATGCAGTGGATCACTAACATGTCTAAAAAAATGTGACTCCAGTACTCCCTTGGTACACATTTGTCCCAGGTGGTCTCCATTCATTTTATTTTGTGTTACATTAGAAATAACCATGCATTTCTCTCCTTCTCACTCTCTCTGAGGCCCACTGGGAATTCTCTCTAGAGTGCCAGTAGCTCCCTCTTGTGGACAAGACAATCTTGTTAAATGTGAGTGAGTCACAAGCCAGGTTCATGAGGTTTTTTGCATCTAAAAAGTAAATGATAAATATGAAATGTTAGAAATTAGACCAGTCACACTATCAAATAGTCTTCATGCATTTTCCAGCCCTCTACAGAACAGAACAGAAATCTGACTTTATCCAGTGTAGCCCCAGAGATACTGAAAGATTTTATTCCTGAGCCTATAAAGTTTGTGCCCTGTATCTCCCAGGGTTTATCTGCACTGTTTCAGCGTAGTGCGCTTAGCCAAGTCATTGCTACTTTTGCTAAAAAGCTTTTCTGTGAAAACATTTATTCTGAGTTAGTCAACGTGCAGTCAGTAAAGAATGTACAGGAAAAAAAGTATTTACTACACGCCGCTGAAAGACTGTGGAAGAGGTAACGAGTGGTAGACTGTTAAAATAACCCAAACTACAAAGGAAACAGCACTACATGTAATGGTAATGATTATGTTTAAAACATTTAAAACTAGAGTATTTCAAAAATAATTTAAGTTTGAATGTTTTTGAACATCCAATCAGACTGGAGGTCATTTTGTTTGTGGACATGAAAAAGTGCTTAGAAAAGTGCTGGGTTTATCTCAGCTCGGCAAAGCAGCAAAGCTACTCGAAATAAACTAAGGTAAATACGTTTTTCATTTGTAAGCTGATGTCATAGACTTGAGGGTTTTCACCCTCGTATCTGACATGCTGTGTGCGCCTCATGTTACCTCCTAAGGTTACTTCGGTTAAGTTTTATACGGTTTCCTGTCCGATTTAGAACTGAATGCTTCGTATTCCACCTCTATCAACTCTGAATTTGTAAATATGTCGCCAGAATTTGTCACCTAGTCTGCTGTGGCTAGTTCTGCATTCCAGACTGGACAGACTGTTTGTGAGTTTGAAGGGAAAGGATTAATGAATGGTTGTGTTTCTGTGAGTATGAGTGAAAGCGAGTGCACAGACCCTGCACATCATGCTCTGTGGTGATTCTCAGGAGCAGAGCCCTCTCCCTGTTAAAACAATGCCCAGAATCACCACAGGGACGGTTTTTCCTGTTCTCTATATTGGCTTTGACCGTACAACACCTTCTTCAAACCTCTGGTATAGTGCAGCACCTTCTGCCATTAAAAATAGGAAAACTTGATTACTTTGTCAGTGTGAGAATATGAAGACATTATTACTTTCTTTTTGTAGTTTGAGCCATAAAAGCAAAGCAGTGAAACATTTTACCCTCTTTACTTATTTTCATTCTGTTTTACTCGTTTTTTTATGAGATACTTTGACTTGATGTATTTAAGAGGTTAGAATTATGAGGCAATAAATATACTTATAATTTTCATATCAACTTAATAGCACGCTGTGCTGCGCCAAGACTGGGTACAGTTACATAACATAACAAATGAAGCAGTCCGAGAATTGTCTGGCAGAAGAGGTGCAATGTTAGAGAAAACATTTATAAGCCATCTTCAAAATATTACTAAAACAATGAAGCAAGTATTAATTCTTGGAGAGTGAGAGGAAAGATTTTTCTCCATTTTCTGTACACTCTGGTTTGGACACTGCCCCCTAGTGCACACGCTCATGTTACGATCAAGTATATTTAGCACCAGTTTAGGGAAAGATTTAATCCCTCCTAGGTAGTTAAAAAGGAACTGTTTTTCACCATTACACACAAAAAAATTAAGTTCCAGCAAACAATGAGGGTATTTCTAATCCTCAGTACCAAGATTCAAAGAATTTGTTCAAGGTTTGCGTCCAGTAAGACAAATGAAAACTCCAGAAACAGAGCTGAAAAGGGAACTCCACAAAAGATTAAAAACGCAGCTGTGCCAAATTTAATGACCGGCAGTTGAAATTCCTGCTTCCCTTTTCGAAACCTCAAGAATTCAAATTCTTTGAAGGTCTACTTTGGGTGATTGCGTTTTTTAATAAACAATCAGGCTCAGCATACATGTGATGGGGACTTTCTTATGTCAAACTAAGAAGGAAGAAGTAATAGATAAGAGAAAGGAAAAAAAAAGGCGTGATACAGGAAGGGACTGACCGTGCATGAGGAATGTGCTCAGTAGCTGGTCCGTAGCCACAGGTTTTATCTCTGTGCGCAGGTTCACGAAGCGTCCCACCACTAGAGGCGCTCTCCTAAACCCTAGAATCCTGCAGGAGAGCAACAGGATATACTATCCGTGTAGAGTAAACTCAACTACTGATTAGATTTCTATGCAAACAATAGGGATATATTCTCAGTCCAGATCGGTTATTTACAAAACTTTCCTGCATCTGTATGCATACTGGGTGTGTGCTGTGTGTATGTGCACACAGAACAGGCTAGAATGTCATATAAATCCTGCATTCATACATACACTGTGGTGGCTCTGTGTGTTTTACCTGTCTAGGTGAAAAGCAGCGATCTCTGCATTATGCCTATCGTACCCTGCATATGGCTCTCCCTCGACCACATAATCCCTGTTGTACCTGTGAAAGAAAAAAAGGGGTTTAGAGAGTCCTGCTGTATTTCATTACAGCTGAAACAGCAGTGCTAATCAAACAAAAACACTGCAACAGGGCCACTCTACAGAACAGAACCTAGCACTGAGTAAATACTGCGCTACAGGTTGAAATATGAACCCAGAGACTTGAATAGTTGCCTCAGGTTCAGACATCATTTCTCACAGCTTAGGTTCAAATTTAACATACAAGTTGTTGCTTTACACATGTCCTACTTCCAATGGATTTTGGCTTGAGTTTACCTTGCTTTAGTTTTGTTTTTATTACCTTAGACATTTTGTAATCTGGCATGCTGAAGTTACTTGGCAGGAAAGTGAGAACAGCACATTATGTAATTTATCCAGACCATAATCATTTGAGATGCTGTTCAAAGGCACTGATTTTTTAAAATAAATTTATAAAGTGGAATTAAAAAGTCATTTGGGACAGCGCATTACTAGTTTACTGGTTCTCTCACAAAGCCAGACTTCATGCTTAGCCAGCTAACTTTAAGCTTAGTCTCAGTCTAGTCTTAAGTTAAGTTAAGCTCAGGATTTTGGATCATAAAAACTCTTGGACCAATCAGGGCCGACCTTCCGACCAATCAGGTACAGGCTTCTGACTCTTTCTTGTCATTTTAAGTCTTTCTTAGGGACATTAAAGATGACATGAGGAATATAAAATAATTGTTACTCTAATAAAAATGAACACAGTGGCCACAGCATTGCTTTTTTTTTTAAATGCTATACTTTCTACATATTTATGTAGCACAATTACTTTTTCCTTTTTTGAAAAATAAGCAGTTTCACTCCTCATGTTTCACATGATTGGCAGTTTGTTGTAAACAGTGGCGTTGGACCGAAGGTAATGACAGCCCTGACTAACCAGGGCCCTCCCTAGAGGGGGAGTCCTCCAAAAACCTCAGAAATATACAGATTTTGGATTCTAATTTTGACTCCCGGTTAAATAATAATAATAAACAATTATAGTAACAATAATAATAGTACAAGTTGTATGTTTTACAAAAGCAATACACGACTGCATCTTCCATGATAATTTTGGCTTATCTACTGTTTCCCTAACCTCCCTCATGCCCGCCTCAAAAGCAAAAGTGCTCTGATCCTCCAGGATGCACGTCTATCATTAGTGGCTCTCCGCCAATTCTGAATGGGTTAAAATGAAATCAAACTCATAATTTCAGAATTACGAAAGGAACGGAGAGCGGGAGAGCAACAAAGGGGCCAAACAACTTCTCCCCCATTTCCTTCAGAAAACACATGAGCCTAAACTGCCAAACAGTAAAATGTTGTGGTAACATAAACTAGCTAGCTAACTAGCAATGAGCCATATTTATGGCGATTAGCTACATTTGCAGCCATTTGTAACAAGAGCAAGCTGAGAAAGAAGTATAGAATTTGATTTACTGCAGCAAACAGGCCTTTAACAGTGTTTCTGTGATCACAACCAAAGTTAGGCTCAGCCCAGCAGCTAATTTGTAAAACGCAAACACAAACTAGTTCCAGAGGCAGTGACAGAGGGACAGAGGGCTCCACCTCTTCCTTTTCTGATGCAACTGAAGACCTGAGACAAAGTGAGCTCACCAAAGTAGGTAGCTAATAAGAGTTCCAACCAATAAACCATTTCGTGAGCAGTTTAAGTAAAAATTACAGTTATTTCAATTTTTTTAGGTTTTCTCTTTTGAATTTCCCTCTAAATACATTGGTTTGAACATTGTTTAAACCAAATTTAAGTCCACCCCTTATTAAAGTACTGCAAAACCGATGATTCAAAGCACTTTTTTTTTTGGGTGCTACACTCCTGCTCGTAAACATCACGCTTGCATGTACACGTGCATTACAGCCTAAACCTGGGTCAACAGAGAAAGAGGTTAACTGCCATCATAAGACGTGCTAACCACAACTGTGTTTGTGGTTTTGTGAAGCTGAAATGTAGATAGGAATCCTGTCTAAACTGAATGTGCTTTGTGAGACAGGCCCCTAATGATGGCAGTCATCTTAGTTATGCTACAATATAATTTACCAGGTGCCATCCTTAGGTATGCTGTTTTCTTTGGCCTTTGGTTGGTGACGGCCTTGTTTGCATCACGTTCGGACAGAAGCTTTGCTCAGCTTGTGTCGAGTTCAGACAGAAAACTTGGTGCTTTGGGAAATGCAATGTGCAGAGTTAAAGGTCATAGCAGAATGGAACAGAAAGTGCCTCCGGCCTGACAAACACTATACTCAACACTGAGAATCTCTTCAAGCTCGTTAACTTGCACTTAATTATCAGTCTGCTCAGTAGTACCGCAGTGTTGAAAAGGATGCCGTCTTCTTCGCTGAGTTGCCTGTCTATTAGGTACACAGTCCTTGCAGCTAGACTCACTGGCCATTTTATCAGAGACGTCTAAGATATAGGTGCAGTTTTTAAGTTTACACTTACTTATTAGCCAGCCTCTACCCTGTCCATCAATGGATATGAGCCACCATGAGACCACCAATAGGGCCCAAATTATATCTGGTCAGTGGGACCATTTTCAGCACAGCAGTGGCAACAGCCACAATTACGTGCAGCCTGACAATTAATTAATGATCTGACTAACTGTCAATCAGAATAGAATACGAATATGTATACACCTCAACTGGAATAGACTAGTCCAATAGAGGCTATATATGAATGAGGTGGGTGGTCCTGTAATTAATCAGTTAAATAGAAGAATAATAGCCATATAAACACCTGTATCTGATTGCATTCCCAGTCAAAAAGTTTAGTATGTTATGCGCATGTGCATTTGAGTCATAATGGAAGTTTATAACATTCAACATGGCAGGGGCCAGAAACTCAGATAACTTACTGCTTCTTAGACTGGCAAAAATCTCTGCATCTAAACACAGCCATGATCATAATAGTGACATGTTAGTGTGAGCTTTGCCAGTACAAGTGTATTAGAAATTGCTGAGATTTTAAAAACTTCACCTGAGTGTGAGCGATATGACAAAAATATAGCATCACAATACTTCAAAACCTTTTCATGCAGTTAATCTGAAGTTTGTTAAACTCTGAACAAACAAAATTTACCAGCAAAACAGAAGCTAAAAATATTACCAAAATCCAAGTACAGTAATTTCACATACTGTGCTACACTAATTCAGGGCTCCAGACTAATGTTGTCCCGGGGATGACAAAAATAGTATACAGGATGATGTTTAAATCATTTTGGGACCCTTTGGGGTTAATTTCACTTAATGTCGGTACAATTTGTAAAAATTTTTTATATTATATATATATATATATATATATATATATATATATATATATATATATATATATATATATATATATATATATATATATATATATATATCCCACTCAATCCAATCAAAAGCTTTCTCAGCATCGAGTGAGACCACCATACAATCCATACATACACACAAGAAAGCTAAATAATAAACTACCTCATGACATTCTTACAGGAATGACAGCCACTATTAATAATAGTCTGGTCTATATTTATAATGCTTGAAAGGATAGCTTGCAGTGTGCTTTCAAAAGGCTGAGGGTGGCACGAAAAGTATTCATCTGCAGATTTATTCCTTACGATAAGCATAATATTAACTTCTGTAAGGGTTCTTGGTAAGAATCCTGTCTGTAATGAGTGAATAAACATTTCAAGTAATAGTTTCAACAGTAGAGATTTAAGTTCCTTACAGAGCTCAACCCCAAATCCGTAAGGACCTGGTGTTTTCCCTGATTGTAAGCTACTCATGGCTTCATTCAGGTCATTCATTGGCATTTCTCTGTTTAGAACTGCTTTCTGCTCGTTACTCAGCCCGGGCAAGCTGACAATGGAGAAAAATTTCTCCAATAAAAGTTGTTGGAGAAGATGAATGCTCACTTGCATATTTTTTTTTTCATGAAATTCCTTAAATATTCTGTTAATGCTGCTAATATCTGATTTGTAATACCCAGAGGCATCTTTAACATAAGCAATATAGTTAGAATCTAACCTGGCTAGATATTTGCTAGGTTTTTGCCAAATTCATACCATTTTTGTTTTGCAAACTTAAAATTTTGCCCTGCTTTCTGAGTAAGTACTGAATTTAGTGTTGCTCTTGTAGTCAACATTATTTTCAGATTAGCTTCAGATGAATTTTTGTATTCTTGTTCAACTACAGACAGCTGTATCTGTATAAGTTAATGTTGCTGAATTAGTATTTTACATTTTGTACTTTTGTCATATGAGCCACAAAGGCCTTGTGCATATGCCTTACAGGACTCCCAGAGTGTTGAAGGAGAGATATCTTGTGTGGCATTAACTGAAAAACAAATTCTGAAAATCCTTCTTAAAAAAAGGCAAGAATACAGGGATCTTTTAGCAATTGTGGGTCAAGCTTCCACCGAATATAATGTTGGCACTATCCATGACAAAACTCCATAAACACAGGGTAGTGGTGAGAGATTATAATATTTCCTGTATCACATGCACAGAGTGTAGCACTGCTTTAGGAGTGAAAAAAAAAAAAAAGATTAAATCTAATCTGGAGCTACTCGTATGCACCCTAGAGAAGAAGTGAAATCTTTTGCACCTGGATTCAGAGCTCGCCACACATCGTGGCATCCTAATTTGTCACATATCTAACATTACTTTAGCTCTTTGTCTTGTTTTAGTGCTGGCAGTTTGTCTATACAGGGATCTAGGAGGCAATTCATATCTCCCCCCAATAGGATAATTACACTCCCAATCTGTAAGGTATAAAAATACTTTATCAATAAAATCAGGAGGCTGAGCTGGTGGAGCTAAGATGTTTAGAACAGAGATATTTTCCCCCAAGTAGATTCCCTTTGGTAGTTACATACTGACCTGCTTGGTATGTGATATTTGACTTGACTGTGAGTGAAAGTCGCTTAATAATGATACATACTCCTCTACAGTTGCGAGAAAAAGGTGAGAAAACCAACTCTCCCACCCAGTCCTGCTAAAGCTTTTCATG